CAACAACAATTTGGGGTTTTGATGGCGGTTGTAAGTCGAGGAATGCCAGTTAATTATTTTATTTGGTTCCTTTTGAAGCCTGATCAGTTTTCAAACTCAAAACCTTCACTGAGAAGGGAGGGAATCGGGTTTGGGGAGTCTTTCTCACACACACACACACACACACACACACACACACACAAACTCACGGCCATTTCCAGCAGGAACTGGCCAGACTGAGTCGGCCGGCCGGTCTGCCTTCCTTCCCTGCGGCCAAACCGGCTGAACCGGCCGAGTGGGGTCCCAGGGGGGTCAAAGCCAGTCCTGGCAGCAGGATTTTGGGGGCTTCATTGTCCCCCCCGCAGCAGGATTGAGGGCTACTCGCCTCGGGACAAGAGTTATACCGAAGAGAAGCATTAAAGAAAGGATGCCAAAGGAGGGATGAAACGAAAGGGGGATGAGAAAAAAAATCAAAATATGAAATCGGAGGTCTCCAAACGTGGCTATGGTGGACTTCAACTCCCAGAATTCCCCAGTCAGCAAAGCCCCTGGTGTAAATGATTTTAAATAGTTGTTGACTTGGCCTGTGGCAGGTTGGCCCACGTGTGTGCGTGGGGAGGGTGAGTTGATGAAGAAAAAGGAACCGCCACCCCCAAATTCCCCCAGGAGGAAAGATTCTGAGGGAATTGGGGGTGGGGATTTCATTTGGCTTCATCAACCCCCCTCAAAGCACTCGCCCTAAACCACGGACCGGCTGGGTCCGGACTGAGCCAACCCATCAAGTCAACAAGATTCAATTATTTGAAGTAATTTGAAAAGATATATATATATTTTAATCTTTCTCATTCGCATTTCGTTTCATCCCTCCGGGTCCCTCTGTACGTGAACCCCAAAGGCCCAAAGGGGATACCCTAATGTTCCCCAATGGTCTCCAGTCTTGGCCGCTTTAAGGCTTGGGGACTTCAACTCCCAGAATTCCACAGATCTTAAAAGTGGCCCAGGTTGGAGACCTGGCTAGGGAATTCTGGGAGTTGAAGTCCACAAATCTTAAAAGTGGCCAAGATTGGAGACCCCTGCTTCAGAGTCACAGGGGCAGTGGTGATATTGTACTGGTTCGGCCCAGTTTGGGCAAACCGGTAGTAAAAAAATGCTACTGTTCGGCTGAACCGGTAGTAAAAAAAACAGCTACCGGTTTGGCTGAACGGATATTTCTTTTTTTTTTCCCCTCCCAACGATCAGCTGTTCCGACAATCAGCTGTGCTGGGATCCCATTTGCTGTCCTAGTGCTTCCTCCAGGAGGCAAAAAACGGAGCGCGGGGGGCGGTTAGCTGCAAAAAAGAAGCCACACCCACCCACTCACGTGGCCACGCCCACTTAGCCACGCCCACAGAACCAGTAGTAAAAACATTTGCATCCCACCCTTGCTCAGGGGCTGCCCTTGGCCAGGATTCGGTTTGGCCCCTCCAGCCATTTGCAGCCTGTGGATGCTGGGTCAAGGCCT